TCCTAGGGAGTTCATTAATGTCTTGTTCAATTTCTTTTTCTGAGATGGGATTATTTAAGTATTTTACTTCCTCTTCTGTTAATCTGGGCAATTTATATTTTTGTAAATAATTCATCTGTTTCACTAAGATTGTCAAATCTATTGCCATACAGTTGGGCAAAATAGTTCCTAGTTATTACTTTAATTTCCTCATCATTGGTGATGAATTCACCGTTTTCATTTTTGATACTGGTAATTTGGTTTTCTTCCTTTTTTTTAATTAAACTAATCAAAGGTTTATCTATTTTATTGTTTTTTGTTTTCATAAAACCAGCTCTTAGATTTGTTTATTAGGTCAATAGTTTTCTTAATTTTAATTTTATTCATCTCTCCTTTGGTTTTCAGTATTTCTAATTTGGTATTTAATTGGGGGATTTTAATTTGTTCTTTTTCTAGTTTTTTTTTTAGTTGCATGTCCAATTCATTGGTCTCCTCTTTCTCTATTTTATTCATGTAAGCATTTAGAGGTATAAAATTTCCCTAAGAACTGTTTTTGCTGCATCCTGTAGGTTTTGGTATGTTGTCTCATTATTGTCATTCTCCTGAATAAAGTTACTGTTTCTATGATTTGTTGTTTGACCCACTCATTCTTTAGGATTAGATTATTTAGTTTCCAATTAATTTTTAGTTTATCCTTCCATGGCCCTTTATTACATATAATATTTATTGCATCATGATCTGAAAAGGATGCATTTAATATTTCTGCTTTTCTGCATTGGTTTGTGAGGTTTTTATGCCCTAGTACATGGTCAGTTTTTGTGTAAGTGCCATGTGCTGCTGAGAAAAAAGTATATTCCTTTGTATCCCCATTCGGGTTTTCTCCAGAGGTCTATCCTATCTTACTTTTCTAAATTCTGTTCACCTCCTTAACTTCTTTCTTCTTTATTTTGTGGTTAGATTTATCTAGTTCAGGGAGGAGGAGGTTGAGGTCCTACTAGTATAGTTTTGCTGTCTATTTCTTCCTGTAACTCCCTGAACTTCTCGAGGAATTTGGATGCTATACCACTTGTTGCATTTGTTTAGTAATGATATTACTTCATTGTGTATGGTGTCTTTTAACAGGATGTATTGTCCTTCCCTATCTCTTCTACTGAGATCTATTTTTCCTTTTGCTTTGTCTGAGATCAATTGCTGCCCCTGCTTCCCCCCCCCCCCCCCCCCCCCCCCCCCCCCCCCCCCCCCCCCCCC